CACCTTGGTCTTTGCTCTATTTACGTTTGATGTTGAAAATTCAACTCTACAGTTTACCAAAGTGAGTTTAATTGACATTTTAGTAGTTTGATAGTTTAATATATATATATATTATATAGAGAAATAAGTCTGGAAAATGTATTGGCAGATTTTTGTAAACTTTAAACTACCAAAAATGTTATAAAACCAATTTTCCCCAAACTTTTCAAGGTTAAACGTTGTTGGAGGAAAGATCAGGGTCCCATAATGCAATTCAAAAGCATACATAAATTAGGAAAAATAAAAACATGAATCACAAAAAATGGAAAACTGTTAATTTACAGAGATTTTTAGAGTATTTTTGTTTGTATTGCTGCTTTTCCCCCCAAACATTCTTCACAATATCTCCATTAAGGATGAGGAAATTTTCATTTCTGGGTGAACTGTCCCTTTATCAACACGGAGAGCCTGAATATAACATTAATAAAGTAACTTTAATAGTTCACTCTGATGTTAAATATATCACGTTTTCTCCTACTGTTAGGTGTTTAGATTTTAAAACTTTCCGTCTATTTTTTTTCCCCTTCTAATGATGATTTTGCACTTTTTTGGTGTCAAAGGTTTTCCTGTTTGTGTGTGCAAATGGGCCAGACGACAAGCTGTTAATAATAATATAACCACTACCTCCATAAATCACTCAGCTAATCAGCCAAACATATGACATGCGGTTTATTACAGGTAGGCATACAGATGTGGTTAACAAAACCAAACCAATTATGAGAATGGGGAATTTAATGCTATAACCTATTAAAGGGGAGCTATTATGCAAAAATCACTTTAATAAAGGGTTTAAATACAGTTGTGTGGCAGCAGTATGTAAATATAACCAGCTTCTAATGGTAAAAATATAATAATGTATTTTTGTATAATCACACTTGATAGTAACAGTCTGCCGAGACACTTTGATTGACATTCTTCTTTTGTGCGTGTCATCAGAGGGGGAAAGCCCCACTAACAGACATCTGAGCAGAACGGCCAAACTGGTTTGAGCTGATTGAAAGGTAACATGACTTGCATACCTTTTACAACTGCGGCCTGCAAAAGAAAATCTGTGAAAGCACAACACGTCATGACTTCTAATTCTTAGGAAGTACTATAGCAATACTATAGCAAAGTACTTAAATAATCTGTAGTGTTGTGGTGGTAAAACAACAATTATAGTAATATAAACAAATACACAAAGCTTTTTACAACTATAGCTGGCCAGTAGCCAAAGGGGGTTCGGGTGGTTTGAAAGTACTACATTCTCAATTGACCTATTTTGTCTGCTATATCATCATAAATTGTGGAAATAACCCATCAAAGGTTTTAAGAAAACGCACAATAACATAAGTGAAGTCAACTTTCACTGTGTTAAAAAAACATTTTACTAAGTAGCCTAACTTTTATTTAAAATCCTGAACCTTATTCTTGAGAGTGAAAAATTACCAGTGAAGAAGTCCGAAGCATCAAAAGCAGCCTATTAAAGTTCATTTTAATACTAATTAGGCTGTGTATAAAAATCAAAAAGTTCTCAGGGGTAGCTTTAAAAATGTGTCGGTGCTCTTTGTGTTAGGGATTCATCAATATAAACATCAAAATCAGGCACTCAAAAATAGTAGAAAAAATAATAAAAAGCCTTTATTGACATGGCTGTTCTTTAAAACCGCAGCTTCATCAGGTTACATTGATGAAGTCAAGTGTTATCAAAACGTTTAGGTGCAGTTTTAAGAAATAGCCGTGGTAGGCTAAGTTGACCGAAGTGTTTGAGTGTGAATGAGTGTGTGTGGATGTTTCCCAGTGATGATTTGCTGCTGAAAGGGCATCCGCTGTGTAAAACATATGCTGGATTAGTTGGTGGTTCATTCCGCTGTGGCGACCCCAGATTAATAAAGGGAATAAGCCAAAAATAAAATTAATTAATTAATTAATTTTGGATATATGTAACCCCGCCGGTCCTACACCGCCCACTCCGCTCCGAGCTGGGATCGAACCAGCAACCTTGCGCATGGGAGTTGGTTGCTCTAACAAGGAGGCTAAAGATCATAGCCTCTAGTGTTTGTCGCTAGAGTAACTTTAGAGGTCAGTGGAGTGAGGTTTACCTGCACAGCACACACTAGCTGGCCTCCACCCCACTAATCCTCACTCCTATCCGGGTCACGGCATCAATGTAACCCCGCCGGTCCTACACCGCCCAACCCGCTATGAGCTAGGATTGAACCGGCATCCTTCCGCATGGGAGTCGGTAGGTCTAACAAGGAGGCTAAAGACCATGAACTCTAGCGTCTGTCGCTAGAGTACCTTAGAGGTCAGAGGAGTGAGGCTTACCCGCACAGCACACACTAGCTGGTCTCCGTTACATATGCACTGCACCATATATAAAATGTCTTAATTTTGGAAATTTTATCCCAGAGCCAAATGCTTTTGCACAATTTTTCTTCTTCTGTATCTTGACAGGTTAGTACACATGCTCCTAGTTTATCTACTCACTCTGTGAGATGGGTCTAAATATAAGGAAAGCAACTGAAGATCATGCAGTTCATGACGCGCGTCAACCACATGGTGGCGCTGGAGTTTGAATCCTCTTCCAATCTTCCAGGGTTGATGACAAGAAACAGATCAAATGCGTCTATGCTAACCATCTTTTCACTTCAGTTCAGTTTAAAATGGTAAATGATGTAGGCTATATCAATCAAAATAAAATTCCCGAGATTAAAATTTGATATTGAAGATGACTCTTTTCAGTTTTGTGAGCATATTTCTTCAGTTCAATTCACTCAGATTTGTTTTGGGCTCATGTACTACAGAACATCTATATCAATAGTCATATCTCAAACAAATAAACCCTTTTGACAAGATAAATATGGTGTAAAATTGCCTTATTTCATTTACCAAACAGATTTTAATAGGTGTAGTTAATGATAATAACTCTGACTTGTCGAGGACAAACACTAGATTACCTTTATTTACACCAAATTTTCAGAAATAAAGGTACAAAAGCTGTCACTGGGGTAAATTGTTATACCTAAACAGTCCTTATTAGTACCTCAAATTACAGTATGTCTCTTTATGATATTAATGGAGCTATATTTTAGATACAAAAATGGACCTTTTAAAACAGTGACAGCATTTGTAGCTTTATTTCAGAGATTAGTTAGGCCTATACAGTCTTTTTATTTAGTAGTTTTTTTATATAGAAAATAAAGTAATACATGATTGCTACATGCTTAAACAATATTAAACACATTTAAATGACTAAATGTAAATGTAATATAAAGGCTACTGCAGAAGCATAACATATGGAAGACAAAACTTGCTAAAAAAATAAATAAGTAAAATGAATGAATGAATGAATGATTAAATCCACAAATTCCTGATGATTGACAGACACCCTCAACCCACCCAGCATGTTGATCTAAGGAAAAGCAAATAAAAAAGTAAATACTACTTTTAGGTTAGCATTTTCTTTTTCCCCCAACATCCCTCTATTTTTTTTTTATTATTTAATTATTCTGTGGAATTAATCTATTTATTTGCATGTTTATTTATTTATTGTTTTATTTATACAAAATTTATGGTTGTATTTATTTGTATAAATATTTTTTGTTTATTGTTTTATTTATGCAGTAATTTGTGGATTTACTAATTAATTAAATTATTTATTTGCTTATCTATTTTATCTATATCTATTTATTGTTTTATTAAGGCAGGATTTTATGAATTAATTTACTTATCTATTAATTTATTTGCATATTTATTTGTTTATTATGTTATTTATCCAGGAATGTGTGCATTGTTTTACAAATCTATTTATTTATTTGCATATTTATTTATGTTTTATTTATACAGAAATTTGTAGATTTACTGTTTATTTAATTTGTTTGCTTATTTATTTATCTATTGTTTTTTTGATGCAGGAATTTATACATTTATTTACTGATTTATTTATTTATTTATTTGGATATTTATAAATGTATTTTTGTTCATGCAGAAATGTTTGGATTGACTAATTAATTAATTTTAGTTTGTTTTTTGCATATGTATTGATTCATTGTTTATTTATGCAGTCATTTTTGGATTTACTAATTAGTTAATTAATTTATTTGCATATTTATTTATTGTTTTTTATGCACTTATTTTTGGATTTGCTAATTTATTCCTTTATTTGCATATTTATTAATTTATTGTTTATTTATGCAGTAATATTTTGATTTACTAATTAATTAATTAATTTTTTACATATTAATTTATTTTTTATTTATGCAGTAATTTCTGGATTCACTAATTAATTGATTTATTTGCATATTAATTTATTGTTTTATTTATGCAGTAATTTTTGGATTTACTAATTAATTAATTAATTTTCTTATTTATTTGTTTGTTTTATGCAGTAGTTTATGAATTTATTTACTTATTTATTCATTTATTTGCATATTTATTTATTTATTGTTTTATTTATGCAGGAATATGTGGATTTATTATTTATTTATTTATTTGCATATTTATTTATTGTTTTATTTATACAGGAATTTATGGATTTAACAATTAATTATTTAATAATTTTTATTTATTTATTAAATAATTTATTTTTATTTTATTTATTTTTATTTTTGCATATTTATTTATTGGTTCATTTATTCAGGAATTTGTGGATTTAAAAATTAATTAACTTATTTGCATATTTATTTATATATTGTTTTTGCAGGTTTCGTCCTCCATAATAACACTAGCAACATAAAATTTTGAAATGTTATATGCAAAATGGCAATGCAATATGTAAAATGTAAAAGGCCGATGCACATTATATAATTTCATTTTCATTTTTGCACCAAAATTTGCACGTCTTGGAAATGCACATACATTACCTTTTTGCATACTACATTTCAAAATGAGTTTTGTTACTGATATGATATGCGCATGCGTCGGTCTACATAGTACGTTTTAGGAATGTGGGCGGAGCGACAGCGTTGTCAAACGTTTGGTGCTCATTGGGAGGAGGAAGACGGATCTACGTGGAGTTTGTTTCATATTTATGAGTAGGCTTTCGGTATTGGAAGGATATAAAAATACTGAATGATATTTACGTGTTATAACGTTGTAGTCGAAGGATTCACTATACACAATACGACAATACAAACTTCTAAGGAGTATTTAAACAACACCAGAAGCAGGACTTTATTTTCTGACAGAACATAAATCATCTCACACACAGATGTAAGTTCATTACTTTATTAACATAACTTAATTAACCTGCATTTTTACTTTAGTTTTAATACACGTATTTTTTAATAAATGCGTTTAAAATACGAATTAATTAGTTCTCGATGTATTTGTGTTGTCTTAGATAAGATGACAGATTGTGAATGCTACAAAAGCGAACAATATGAATAATAATAACACTATTGATAAAAGAGTGTGGGTTGATTTTAAGGATGTTTTGTCTCATTTTGGAGTCTAATTAGCCTATATTGATATGGTAATATTATAATGAGACAGGCATATTATGAAAGTAGACGTCGTCATGGGCCTGTCTCAGCGAAGAAAAAGCTGACCTACTTTCATCTGTGAACTGTCAAAAATCTACGACAGATTTACAAAAACAAACTTTGGAGCAAATTTAGTTTATTAATTTAATGAATATACAGTTGAAGTCAGAATTATTAGCCCCCCTATGATTTAGTTTTCTTTTTTAAATATTTCCCAAATGATGTTTAACAGAGAAAGGAAATGTTCACAGTATATCGATAATGTTTTTTCTTCTGTAGAAAGTCTTATTTGTTTTATTTCAGCTAGAATAAAAGCAGTTCTTATTTATTTATTTATTTATTTATTTATTTTTCGTTATTTTAAGGTCAATATTAGCCCCTATTTTTTCGATAGTATACAGAACAAACCATCGTTATACAATAACTTGCCCAATAATTACCCTACCCTGTTTAGTTAACTTAATTAACCTAGTTAAGCCTTTAAATGTCGCTTTAAGCTGTGTAAAGTGTCTTAAAGATATCTAGTCAAATATTATTTACTGTCATCATGGCAAAGATAAAATAAATCAGTTATTAGAAATAAGTTAATAAAACTACTATGATTAGAAATGTGTTGAAAAAAATCTTCTCTGTTAAACAGAAGTTGGTGGAAAAAACAGGGGGGCTAATAATTCTGACTTCCAACTGTATATGGGAAGAACCATGTACACAAACAAAAATGATCCAATAAAAAAACTAACTTATTTTATTTGTCTAAAATTGATCTTAAGCATTATATTGAAACCCTAAAAGACATTAAAAGTGAAAAAAAAAACTCTGAAGATGTAAGCAATTTTGGACTTAATATTTATGCAAATTTCTTGTAATATATCCCCTGTAATTTTATGTATTTATTGTTTTTTATTCTCTATTAATTTGTTCTTTTGATGTGAATAAATGTAAGCACTCTATTCCTCAGTTTTTGTCTGCTGTTGCTCTTGTTATGCAATTAAAAAAACGATTTTCAAAAACAGATCTAATTTTTTTTTAATGTTCAATAAATTTTTTTTGCATTTGAACTTAGTACACAATTAATAAAAAACATTTGTTTTTGCAAATGAGCTCTAAAACTTTTAAAATTTCATATTTTCTCTCAGTATTAGTTACATAATCATCTAAATCTAGAAAGAAGCAAATAAGTAGTTTTTTGGCTGTGTAATGAACTTTTTTCATGTGCGGTTGTTTTAAAATAATTTTTTTAAAGGGACAGTACTCTTTAAAAATGAAAATGGAAATCCTGCTATCATTTACCCACCCTTTACTTCCAAACCTGTCTGAGTTTCTGTCGAGCACAAAAGAAGATATTTCAAAAAAATTTAAAAATCTGTAACTTCCATAGTATTAGTTTTTCCTACACTAAAAAATGCTAGTTTCCTTAATTTGTTCAGCTGAATCAAATTAATCTTATGAGTCCATTGCACTTATATTATGTTAAACTGACTTAAAACAGCTTGCATAACTCATTGTTAACTGAACTAAAAACATGTGTTGACATGACTAATTGATTATATAATTATTTTTACAGTGTACAGAAGTCAAAGGTAAGCAATAGCAGAGCTTTCAGTTTTGGGTGAACTATCTCATTAAGGAAGTGTCTTGGAAGATGATTGTTTTGATGGCATGGGTAAATCCCTAACTATCATACGGTAGTCATCCTAAAGGAAACAAATCACATGTCATCAATTATTGAGCAAGATTGGCATATAAACAAACAACTCCATATAACCAAACCCTATAAGCGTGTGGTGTTTTGTGAGCTGGTGATGTGATTCATGTGATTTTTAAGATGATAGTAATACTCTGATGCAACACGAGGAAAGAAAAACACTTCTAGTAATTCAGCAGTTTACCAGAAATTAAATATTACGCTATTTACTCATGTCATATGTCTCGAAATGGCAAGAGAACATGAAACACAAAATGCTTGACAAGTAATATGTCATATTTATTTAAGTGTATTTTATCACATGTTTTTGTTCTGTGTGTTTTAGTGACCATGTCGGACGTGAAACCAAAGGGTGTAGACACTGTGGATGCCAGACAAAGCGATGCAAAAGAGTATGTGTGATTGATTCATTAAAAGACTCTTGTTAATTACAAGCATATCATGTGACGCAGTATTTAGGTTTTAGATTTGTGGCCTGCAGAAATGAACTGAATATGAAAAATGAAATGTAGTAATTTTGACAACATTTTTCGAAAAAACACATTTGTGTTTGCTTGTTTTTGATCAAGAAATCTTAGACCAATGTCATGCAAAACGCTGCAGATTTTTCATTCATTCATTTTCCTTCGGCTTAGTTTATTCATCAGGGGTCGCCACAGTGGAATGAACCACCAACTTATCCAGCATATGTTTTACGCAGCGGATGCCCCTCCAGCCACAACCCAACACTTAGGGTGCTTTCACACCTGTGAATCGATTCAGTTGTTCCGAAACAGGGATTAAAATGGTTACATTGTTGCTCTTTGCTCTTGGAGCGGTTCGCTTTCACATGGCAAAGTTTCTAAACGGACCAAAAGAGCTAAAACAAGTCACGTGTGAGTAAACTCTCCTCACATTGGTCAGAGTTTCATGGTTTATTTTGCAGAGTCCCGCTCAGCTGTCAGGAGAGGTAGTGGTTTGGTGGTGTTTGACAAGGTGCACGCGACGTGTCTGAAGAGCGAGGAGAGATGCGGTGGGGAGGGGTGAGAAGGATGTGCGACGTATCTGAGGACCGGGAGGGAGACGCGAGATTACCAGGAGATTATCACTCGTTTGCGGGCCTCCGGGAGACTCCCGAAACTTCCCGCCCTACTCATAATTCTCTCTTCATATAGCTGTATGCCTATTACATATCCATAAAACACTGTGATATATCCGCACTCGGACCGTATCGCTTTCTCACTGCAATCGATCCGCTCCAGAGTTTGCTTCAATCAAGCCGAGACCACCCCATTCAAGCGATCTCGGAGCGATTGATTTGGCGCGGATCCTAGCACGATTGCTGGTTTTACATATCCCAAACGAACTACGCTAACTGGGCAAACGAGACAGGTTCCGAAACAAGCGTAAGTGTGAAAGCACCCTAAGAAACACCCATACACACTTGCATTCACACTCATACACTACGGTCAATTACAATAGCAATAGCGTATTTATTTCACCTATACCACATGTCTTTGGACTGTGCGGGAAACCGGAGCACCCGTTGGAAACCCACACGAACACGGGGAGAACATGCAAACTCCACACAAAAATGCCAACTTCACAAGCCGGGCTCGAACCAACCGCCTTCTTGCTGTGAGGCGATCGTGCTACCCACTGCGCCACCATGACGCCCACATATTTTTTATTTACCAAAAAATACAAAACAACATAACAGAAAGGAACAGAATGAAAAAAAAAAATTAAATGTGATAAATGGACCTTTTAGAGGAAACACAATTGTTTTGTGTTGTCATGAGGCGCCATGTAGGATTTAAATCAAACCTTGCTTATCAGCACGCTTATAAAACACTTGCATATGCACCTATAAATTACGCGCATATACACTTATACTATTGGATGTTCAAAACAACATATATGAAACTTGCGCATGTACACATGAACTTGACGCATGCATACACTCACATACACATGCACATAGGGCTCTATTTTGACGATCCATGTGCAAAGCGCAGGGCGCAAACGCTTTCAGGGTGTGCCATAATCTGTTTTTGCTTATATAAGGACGGAAGAATCCGCTTTGCGCCAAGGCGCATGGTCTAAAAGGGTTGAGTTTATTTTCTTAATGAGTTATAAGTGTGTTTTGAGAATAAACCAATCAGAGTCTCATCTCCCATTCCCTTTAAGAGCCAGTTGCATCGCACCATAAGTGCATTTGCTATTTACAGCACGTAAAGTAAGTGTAAGTGGAAAAAATGAGCATTTCACTAGCAAGAAAACAGTTAAACAGAGCATCTACTGCAGGAGAATGAGAGATAAGGCATCTCATAATCTACTTTCACTTTCGCTCTTGGATAGGGAAACCTTTACGCACAGACATCCATTAGCCTATACATAATTAATTTCGTTTGTAAAGATTTGTTCCAAAACTATTTCTAAATTCAGTTCTAGTTTCCAGCAAACGAATAAATGAACAATAATAACGAAGTGTGTTCAAAAACCTGAGTTATATCCTAAAACACATGCTGTGCCTCATATGATCTAAAACCTGACAGGTGGACAAATCTAAGCTTGTTTTTAATAAAACAAATATAAATATGGATATAATAAATAATACTGCTAATAATAATAATATTATACAAAACTAATTGAATGAACTGAAAAAGCCTCCCGAGATGAAGAAAGTATGAAAGCAGTGGTTTTTAAATTTATGTAGGCTAGAAAATATTATGTTTGGTAATATTTTAATCCTTTATATTTATATCCTATATCTATTCTTATTATATCCTATATATATCCTTAATATTTTATCTCTTTTTCATATGTAAAGATATTTGCGTATTGCTCTACATCTTGTGTGTATTAAGCAGTGTGTTAGCGAGGCGCACTCTGAGCCAGACAATAGACCGGCTTTGTTCTGGTCTAAAGAACAGACTATTATAGTTTCTCAAAATAGCAACGCGCCAAAACACGCCTGCTTTTTTAGACCAGAACGCCTATGGGCGCACATATGAGCGCAAATGCATTTGCTATTTAAACAGCGTGGAGTAACACCTCAAAACGACTCTTGCGCCAAGCTGAAACTAGCAAATAACAGTTGCGTCGCGCCTTACGCCACATTGCGCCGGGTGTATGATAGGGCCCATAAACTTGATCCTCTCATAAACACCCACCTCAACACACGCACATACAAATAAACTCGATCCTCACATAAACACTCACACTAACACACGCACATACAAATAAACTCGATCCTCACATAAACACCCACACTAACACACGCACATACATATAAACTCGATCCTCACATAAACACTCACACTAACACACGCACATACATATAAACTCGATCCTCACATAAACACTCACACTAACACACGCACATACATATAAACTCGATCCTCACATAAACACTCACACTAACACATGCACATACATATAAACTCGATCCTCACATAAACACCCACACTAACACATGCACATACATATACACTCGATCCTCACATAAACACTCACACTAACACACGCACATACATATAAACTCGATCCTCACATAAACACTCACACTAACACACGCACATACATATAAACTCGATCCTCACATAAACACCCACACTAACACACGCACATACATATAAACTCAATCCTCACATAAACACTCACACTAACACACGCACATACAAATAAACTCGATCCTCACATAAACACCCACACTAACACATGCACATACATATAAACTCGATCCTCACATAAACACCCACACTAACACACGCACATACATATAAACTCGATCCTCACATAAACACTCACACTAACACACGCACATACATATACACTCGATCCTCACATAAACACTCACACTAACACACGCACATACATATAAACTCGATCCTCACATAAACACTCACACTAACACACGCACATACATATAAACTCGATCCTCACATAAACACTCACACTAACACACGCACATACATATAAACTCGATCCTCACATAAACACTCACACTAACACACGCACATACATATAAACTCGATCCTCACATAAACACCCACACTAACACATGCACATACATATAAACTCGATCCTCACATAAACACTCACACTAACACATGCACATACATATAAACTCGATCCTCACATAAACACCCACACTAACACATGCACATACATATAAACTCGATCCTCACATAAACACTCACACTAACACACGCACATTCATATAAACTCGATCCTCACATAAACACTCACACTAACACACGCACATACATATAAACTCGATCCTCACATAAACACTCACACTAACACACGCACATACATATAAACTCGATCCTCACATAAACACTCACACTAACACACGCACATACATATACACTCGATCCTCACATAAACACTCACACTAACACACGCACATACATATAAACTCGATCCTCACATAAACACTCACACTAACACACGCACATACATATACACTCGATCCTCACATAAACACTCACACTAACACATGCACATACATATAAACTCGATCCTCACATAAACACTCACACTAACACACGCACATACATATAAACTCGATCCTCACATAAACACTCACACTAACACACGCACATACATATAAACTCGATCCTCACATAAACACTCACACTAACACACGCACATACATATAAACTCGATCCTCACATAAACACTCACACTAACACACGCACATACATATAAACTCGATCCTCACATAAACACTCACACTAACACGCGCACATACATATAAACTCGATCCTCACATAAACACTCACACTAACACACGCACATACATATACACTCGATCCTCACATAAACACTCACACTAACACACGCACATACATATACACTCGATCCTCACATAAACACTCACACTAACACACGCACATACATATTAACTCGATCTCTGTGTCGATCTCTATATGTTGTTTTGAACATCCAGTAGTATAGGTATATATGCAAGTAATTTATAGGTGTATATGCAAGTGTTTTATGTATGTGTTGACAGGCAAAGTTAGATTTAAATTCTACACGGCGTCTCATATGTTGTTGCTGTTTCATTTAAGACTTTTATTTAAAGAAGTTCATATGGAGTCATGACAAGTTGACATCAAGCGTATGCCTCTCATTACCACCTGCCATCAGAAACATTGACTCCCTCACACTATTCAAATCAAGACTCAAAACCCACTTATTTAAGATGGCTTTTAATACTTAATTTTATCTGCACTATTGTTGTGTATATTTTATTATTTCTCTTGTTGTTTTATTGCTCTTGTTTGTACGGTGTCCTTGAGTTGCTATAAAGGCGCCTTTAAATAAAATGTATTATTATTATTATCAAATAACTTTTATTCAAAATGCATGTCGGGTAGTTGTTGTGTCACGCTCTGTGTTTATACGAATAAAGGCATTTATTACTATTCACGTTTTTGTATGTTGTTTATGTCATATAAAGTTATAAATGGGTCATTAATTATTACATTTTTCATCAATTTTGTTAATGCAGGAGTTCGAGTGTCACAGATCCTGGACTCGTTCAGATGGATGCCAAATCACATTCTGATGATAATGTAGATTATCAATACAAAACCAACTACCCCAATCTAGGACAATGTCTCATCATCAACAACAAGAATTTCCACAAAAGAACAGGTACATTGATATATAACACTGTGCTCATTATATAAGCAAAAAGAGCAAACATTTTAAGAGAGACCAATTTTACTTTTATATTTTCCATTTGGGTTAAATTTTTCTTCTGTGCACCTTAAAGTGGAGAGTTGTGCCAAATTTACATCTACTTACTAATTACTCAACAAAGGTGACGTGGTGGCGCAGTAGGTAGTGCTGTCGCCTCACAGCAAGAAGGTCGCTGGTTCGAGCCTCGGCTGGGTCAGTTGGCATTTCTGTGTGGTGTTTGCATATTCTCCCCGTGTTCGCGTGGGCTTCCTCCAGGTGCTCCGGTTTCAAGCTAAATTTTCCGTCGTGTATGTGTGTAAATGGATGTTTCCCAGAGATGGGTTGCGGCTGGAAGGGCATCCGCTGTGTAAAAACGTTCAGGATAAGTTGGCGGTTCATTCAGCTGTGGCAACCCCAGATTAATAAAGGGACTAAGCCGAAAAGAAAATGAATGAATGAATAATTACTCGCCCACAAATTGCTTCCAAACCTTTACGATTTTCTGTCTTCTGTTGATGTTTTGAAGAATTCCGGAAACCGGTAACCATTGACCTCCATAGTAGAAAAACAAGTACTATGTAAGTCAATGGTTACAGATTTTTATCATTTTTCAAAATGGCTTCATTGTGTTTAACAGAAACTCAAATAGATTTGAAACAAATGGAGGGTGAGTAAATGATGGCAGTTACATAGCTAAAAACATCCACTTACATAGCTAAAAAACAACTTGTTTGCTTCTTTCTAGATTTAGATGATTATGTAACTATAATGCTCAGAGCAAATGGGAATTTTAGAAAAGTAAGAGTTAATTTACAAAAGCAAATAACGTTGCTTTTTAAACCCTTGGTGCACCTTATGCCTGGTTCACACTAAAGGATTTTAAGCCTGATTTGAGCCCGATTTGGAAGTTAACGAGCTCGCCGACAGATCGGGCTGTGATCGGGAAGAAATCTGCGGGTGCTCGGCGCTCGCCGCTCTTTATGTGTGAACTACTGAACAACGCATCAACGAGGCTCGCTGACGCATCGCAGACGGAAATCCAACATTCAGCATGCTAAATATTCCAGAGCAGTCGGCCGACTCAACCCCACATGTGGTCAGATGTAGTGACGAGCTGCAGCCAATGAGAGAGCATATCAGCATGAGTCGCGTGCCTGTGTGTTCAGGAGCTCAGCAGAAACATCTGTGATTGGTCAGAATGGGCATCGGTGCACTCACTTCATTCTGCGTTAGCACAGACATGAGAGTAGGCTATATTAACAGTGGAACTAGAATTCTGTAACTATTAGAATTACCATACTGCTCATTCTGACCGTTCTCATATAAAACGCCATACTGTCACAACATATTTACATTCAAAGCTATTTTTGAGATATTAAAATTAAGCTTTGAATGTCTGGCATCATATTTAATGACACCATTACCCTAAAATATCATCTTTTTTTGGTAATACAGCCTATAAATATGTAGTTAAGATACTAAAACACTTAAAGGTCTTGGCTTTCATTTTCACTTTCAAACAGGAGCTATTTCACGGCATAGAATATGCTGTTTTGAAAGATATCTGAAGTAAATGGATGTTTTTGCCATCAGAAAGTTTTGTTTATGTTAGCAGGAAGTTGCTAGGCAAGAAAATGCACACATATTTAAAGTCACAGTGAAAAGTATCAGACATGCATGCAGTCATTTTGACCAATATGGTAATTTAAGGCAGAAATGCTCAGTTCTTTACTGTTTTGTAATAAAAAAAAATAACAATGTCAGAAAGAAATACACTGATAGTTAGAAAACGGCAGGGTGTTATAAATATGTTAGTTTTATTTCAAAGAGTTATAAAATTACAAAAATTAAAAACTCTCTGTGTATCTATACACTCGAGCCTTGCAGATGAGTGATTAATCCGCTGATAAATCAGCTGATTTGACGATGTTTTTAAATGCTTTCTTCAAAGCTTGAAACGCTGTCAGTGATGTAATCAGCACACAAGCAGCCAATAGTGTTCAGCTTTGTCTGACGACTCCTCCCTCAAAATTTCATTGGCTGTGGTTTGGTAGCTTGAATGAGCTGTTGGGGAATGAGTTGTTGTCAGATCATGTAGTGTGTGACCCCCCTCTTGTGGATCATTCACGGAGTGTTGCGTAGTGTGAACACCACAGAGATTAAAAGACACAAAGTCAAGTTATGTAGTGTGAACAGCACAGCGATCTGCTGATGTTTAAAATCCTGTAGTGTGAACTAGGCTTTAAAGGGGATAGTTTACCCAAACATGCAAATCTACTCACTTTTTAGTCCCCCACAAAGTGCTTCCAAACATTTAAGAGTTTCCTTCTTCTGTGAAACAGAAAAGAAGATGTTTTAAAGAATGCTGGAAACCGGTAACCATTGACCTCCATAGTAGGGAAAACAAATATTATGGAAGTCAATGGTTACAGGTCTGTTGGTGGGGTTCTCATGTTTACATTTTTAACTCTTTAACTTTACTTTAACTTGCCTTGATATAACCTAATTAAAATCAGAATGAGTTAAGTTCAAGAGTCAAAAAAAAAAAAAAAGTAAGTATGAGAACCCCACCAGCAGACCTGTAAGCATTGACTTCCGTAGTAGATCAAAAATACTATTGAAGTCAATGGTTACAGGGAGTTTTCCTCATATTTAAATTTTTTAAAACTCTTGAACTTAACTCATTCTTAATTTAATTGTTATGTTATATCACAAAAAGTTTAATAGCTAGAAAAATTAAATATGAGAACAAACCATCCCCCCTTAACAAACCAGTAACCATTGACCTCCATTGTAGATCAAAAAAACACTATAGAAGTCAATGGTTACTGGCATTTTTCTCATGTTTACACTTTTTTTTTTACTCTTGAACTTAACTCATTCTGATTTTAATTGTTATGTTATATTGTGGCGGCACGGTGGCTCAGTGGTTAGCACTGTTGCCTCACAGCAAGAAAGTTGCTGGTTCTTCCGGTGTTGGCTTGGGTTTCCTCCAGGTACTCCGGTTTCTCCCACAGTCCAGACACATGCGCTATAGGGGAATTGAATAAATTGGCTGTAGTGTATGTGAGTGTATGGGTGTTTCCCAGGGCTGGGTTGTGGCTGGAAGGGCATCCACTGCGTAAAACATGCTGGATAAGTTGGTGGTTCATTCCACTGTGATAAATAAAGGGAATAAGCCGAAGGAAAATGAATGAATGAATGAATGTTATATGGTACACCAGCTGCTTTGCAATGACAATTAATGTGAAACACTCTGTATAAGTACATTTAAATTGAATCAAACTAAATTGAATGAATGGATTGTTGTTGTGAACAGGAATGGGGGTTCGCAACGGGACAGACGAAGACGCAAAGAAGGTGTTTGAGACTTTCTCACAGCTGGGCTTTAAAGTCGGACATTACAATGACCTGACCGTCTCACAGATGATGGCTTTGTTAAATAAAGGTGCGTTATTTTATAGTCATCAGGTTTTATTTATGTAAACAATCAGTCAGAAACGCCTGCATTTTTCCTCCCTCAGCATCTCAGGAAGATCACAGTAAGTCGGCCATGTTTGCGTGTGTGTTGTTGAGTCACGGAGACGACGGGCTGATCTACGGCACGGACAACAGTATCGAGCTGAAGAGGCTGTTTGCACATTTCAGAGGAGATCGCTGCACGTCACTCGTGGGAAAGCCAAAGCTTTTCTTCATTCAGGTGAGATAAAAGCACACATACAGTAATTGCCAATACAAAAGAGAGAGCAAACCATTCTGAAGGGTTCTGTTTGTGTCAAGTTTACCATGTAGCCAAAGAGCATACAATCACCGAGAGGCGACACTCTAGTGCAATTTGGGAAACAGCCACTAGATGGCGCAGCGGGCATTTTGGAATGAAAACTCCAATAGAGCAACAGCATATTATAAGTCTGTAAAATAAAGTATTAAAAGTGCTGATGATTGTGATAGTAAGTGTTGTATTGTCGTTTTTTAGTTTGTATCTCAGCTTTAATGTGCTTTTTAAATAAATAAATAAAAAACAAAGCAACTGCTTGCCATCACGACAGCAATAAGATCCATTGGACAGCCGATCGCTTTCACTCCAAAACGGCCGAATCCCGGGCTGTTGCTGGGCGCTGCTGTTGCAATGGAACGTTCTATTGAGTGTCGCCTCTTGGTCATTCTAAGCTCTTTGATGTAGCTTAATGACAGATGCTTTCAGCTTCCAATTGCACATTGCCCAATATGTTTACAGCAAAGTTATGGCATTTTAAAAAGAGCATTGTACAGGGTCTATGCTGTACAAAGCGATTAGTTGCTTTACCGTTTTCCGTTAACACAAAACTGTTGCCTTAAAAGCAACAAGTTGATTTTCCATACAAAAAGTCAGTAAACACATTGACTTAATTTTTTTCATATTTATGCACATAGTTTGCTTACTTAAAACTGTAAGGTAGCGAGTTTACTCTCTTTTTTAAGTCAACTGATCGAGTTTTACAGTGTTTACAGTGTACTAGTTTTTTTTTTTTAAGTCTTGAATTATATACACACACACACAGTTAAAGTCAAAATTATTAGCCCTCCTGTTTATTTTCCCCCAATTTCTGTTTAACACAGAGATTTTCTTCAACACATTTCTAATCATAATAGTTTTAACTGATTTATTTTATCTTTGCTATGATGACAGAAAATTATATTTTACTAGATATTTTTTAAGTCACTTCTATCTAGTCAAATATTATTTACTGTCATCATGGCAAAGATAAAATAAATCAGCTATTAGAAATGAGTTATTAATAATAACCTTTATTTAACCAGGTAAGTCAATTGAGAACCAGTTCTCATTTACAATGACGACCTGGCCAAGAGGCAACATGAAAAGCAGATGCAGAGCAAAGCACTAGGGACACAATACAATAACAACGCAAATGCAGATAATAGCATATAAAACCAACAACAACAACAACAAAAAAAACTAAAACAAGCACAGTGATCTTGAACTATTGACTGAATAGAATTTTTAAAAGATGATAGGGGAATGAAAGTGCTGAGCTTTAAGGTCTGCTGCAGTTGATTCCAAGCATCAGCAGCAGAAAACTGAAAAGAGTAGCGACCAAATGAAGTGCGAACTTTGGGTATGCAAAGGTTAATGAAGTTACTAGAGCGCAGATTTCTGCATGTTTCATGAATGTTAAGAAGTGATTGTAAATATTGTGGAGTTTTTCTAATAAGAGTTTTGTAAATGAACAGAAACCAATGAATTTGTCGACGTGATTGAAGAGGAGGCCAATTCAGTGAAGAATACAGTTGACAGTGATGAGTATTAAATGGTGCACCAGTAACAAAACGAATTGCTGCATGATAAATAACATCCAGTTTGTGAAAAAGAGTTTTTGAAGCTGATCTGTAAATTAAAGCCCCATAATCCAGAATTGGTTATACTGTTAATTTGACCAAAAGCTGCTTTGAAGAGTGAGTAAAGGAAGATTTGTTCCTGTAAAGAAAACCAATGTGGGCTCTAACCCTTTTGAGCAGTTCATTTATGTGAGTTTCAAACGCAGGTTTCCCATCTAACCAGATACCAAGATATTTATATCAATCAACATAATCAATTTCAGTACCGTGCAATGAGGAAATTTCTATTAAAAACCATGCATTTTGTTTTGTTAGTATTTAAAACTAAGTGAAGATTGGTAAAAGCGCGTTGGATACTTAAAAAACTGGCTTGCAATGAAGAAAGTGCTGTAGTCAGAGAAGAACTGCAAGTATAAATGATTGTATCATCAGCATATAGATGTATGTGAGAATCACCTGCAGCAGAAGCAATATCATTAATATGATTATTAAAAAGTGTAGGCCCCAATATACTACCTTGTGGGACCCTTTTCTGAAGCAGCAGGGGATCTGACAGAAACCCCTCCACCCTTACTGATTGTAGACGACCAGAACAGTAGTTCCTGAACCAGACCAGACAGCTCTCAGATAGTCCAATATATCTTATATCATATTAAAACTATTATGATTAGAAATGTTTTGAAAATTTTTTTTCTCTGTTAAACAGAAATTGGGGAAAAAAATAAGCAAGGGGGCTGATAATTCAGGAGGGCTAATAATTCTGACTTATTGTGTTTCTCCAGGCCTGCCGAGGCACAGACCTGGACTCTGGCATTGAGTGTGACGGTGTAGGTGACGAGGAAACACAAAGGATTCCTGTTGAAGCAGATTTTCTGTATGCTTACTCCACCGCACCAGGTAAATAATGCAACGTACAGGGTTTCCACACTTCTTAGAAAGACTTAAATTTCAGACACATGGATTCAAGGCCTGGAAAGTTTAAACTTTATAAACATTTGTTCATCACTTCCGATGCAGAGGTTGTGATCTATGAAAAACATTCATTCATTCATTTTAATCCAGCTTAGTCCCTTATTTATCAGAGGTCACCATAGCGAAATGAACTGCCAACCATTCCAGCATATGTTTTACACAGCGATGCCCTTCCAGCCTCAACCCAGTTCTGGGAAACACCCATACCTTCTCATTCACATACACTACGGCTAATTTAGTGTATCCAATTCACTTATGCCGCATGTCTTTGTACTGTGGGGGAAACAGGAAAAAACCCATGCCAACACGGGGAGAACATGCAAACTCCACACAGAAATGTCAACTGACCCAGCCGGGACTTGTAATGTAAGATCTATATCAGGCATGCCCAAACTCGGCCCTGGAGGCCACTGTCCTGTTTAGATCCAACTTCCTTCAACACACCTGCCTAGAAGTTTCTAGTATATCTATAAAGAGCTTAATTATCTGGTTCGAGTTGGGATAATTGGGATTGGAACTAAATTCTGCAGCACACCGGCCCTGCAGGACTGAATTTGGGCACCACTGATCTACTGTATATCTTCTTCTGAGGTATTCAAATGATTTCCTATGTAGGCTTTGTAATTCATTCATGTTCCAGTACAACACCATTACATTCTCAATGCAGGTTCCTCTATTACAGTCATTATCTGCTAAATGATAGTATAGAATAAATGATTGCTTTTGCTAGGAACTATACTCTCAATCTGGTGTAATAAATCATGGAAATCATTCTGAATCATGTTTCACAAATGACTCTACTGTTGCAAGATTTTAAAAGATTTTCTTTTTGCAAAGTTCCTGGATTATTGCTCCAGAATAAGAGCATAGTTCCTAGTCATATTAGGAACTATGTTAAAAAATAGCCACTTTTCATTTTGCATCAGTTTTAATACACAATGTAACTATAGAGGAGTCAAGCTTTATAGAAATAGGGAAAAATATTGAAACTGTTTCTGAGTGAGATGCTAATGGTCTAATCCGATTCAATGATCTATGCCAAGCTAAGCTAAAAATGCTCCCGTTAGATTCAGAGATTGACCAAATGGATTTTAAAAATAGTAAAACTCACCTGTTTCAACTTTAGGAGAGTTATAAAACCATTCATTCATTCATTTTCTTGTCGGCTTGGTCCCTTTATTAATCACCCTATTAAAAAATGTGCAATGTTTCTTTAACAAAAAATAAACGGTGGTAAATAAGCAAATGCCCTTGTCCTGACCATGTTATTTTCTGTCTCTCCTCAGGATATTACGCATGGAGGAATGTCGCTAATGGCTCCTGGTTTATCTCCTCGCTGTGCGACATGCTCTTAAAATATGGCAAGCAACTAGAGATCATGCAGGTCATGACGCGTGTCAACCACAAGGTGGCGCTGGAGTTTGAATCCTCATCCAATCTTCCAGGGTTTGATGGCAAGAAACAGATACCGTGCATTGTGTCCATGCTGACCAAAGAACTCTACTTCCCTAAATAATTCACATGGATTTAACTGATTAAGTTGCGAGAATAGTTTTAAAAAGTTGAAGTTAAAAATATGAGCCCTCCTTTTATTAAATATTTCCCTAATGATGTTTAACAGAGCAAGGACTTTTTCACAGTATTTCCTACAATATTTTTTCTTCTAGAGAAAGGTTTATTTGTTTTATTTCAGCTAGAATAAAAGCAGTTTTAAATTTTTTTAAAATCAATTTAAGGACAAAATTATTAGCCTCTTCAAGCAATATTTGTTTCAGATTGTCTACAGTATAAACCATCGTTATACAATGACTTGCCTAATTACCCTAATCTGCCTAATTAACATAGTTAAGCCTTTAAATCTCACTTTAAGCTGAATACTAGCATCTTGAAAAATATCTTGTCAAATATTAATTACTGTCATCATGACAAAGATAAAATAATTTATTATTATTATTATTAAATTATTATTATTAATATTTAAATTATTATTATATTATTATACTAATAATATATTATATTATTATTATTATAATGAGTTATTAAAACTATTATGATTATGATGTGTTGAAACAGAAAGAGGGGAATAAGATATTGAGGGGATAATAATTCAGGAGGGCTAATAAATCTGACTTCAACTGTAAATATCATGTAGCCATTTGAGGTGCTCACTTACAGACCTCAGCCAAAGAATCTGGAGGAAAGCAAGTAATGTTAAAGGGAAACACTGGGTTATTAGTAATGTAAAATGGAAACACTGGGTTATTAGAAATGTTAATGGAAACACTGGGTTATTAGAAATGTTAATGGGATATACTGGGTTATTAATAAAGTTAATTGGATACACTGGGTTATTAATAAAGTTAATTGGATACACTGGGTTATTAGTAATGTTAAAGGGATACACTGGGTTATTAATAAAGTTAATTGAATACACTGGGTTATTAGTAATGTAAAAGGGATACACTGGGTTATTAATAAAGTTAAAGGGATACACTGGGGTTCTAGTAATGTTAAAGGGATACACTGGGTTATTAATAAAGTTAATTGGATACACTGGGTTATTAGTAATGTAAAAGGGAAACACTGGGTTATGAGTAATGTAAAAGGGATACACTGGGTTATTAATAAAGTTAATTGAATACACTGGGTTATTAGTAATGTAAAAGGGATACACTGGGTTATTAATAAAGTTAAAGGGATACACTGGGGTTCTAGTAATGTTAAAGGGATACACTGGGTTATTAATAAAGTTAAAGGGATACACTGGGTTATTAATAAAGTTAATTGGATACACTGGGTTATTAGTAATGTAAAAGGGAAACACTGGGTTATGAGTAATGTAAAAGGGATACACTGGGTTATTAATAAAGTTAATTGAATACACTGGGTTATTAGTAATGTAAAAGGGATACACTGGGTTATTAATAAAGTTAAAGGGATACACTGGGGTTCTAGTAATGTTAAAGGGATACACTGGGTTATTAATAAAGTTAAAGGGATACACTGGGTTATTAATAAAGTTAATTGGATACACTGGGTTATTAGTAATGTAAAAGGGATACACTGGGTTATTAATAAAGTTAAAGGGATACACTGGGGTTCTAGTAATGTTAAAGGGATACACTGGGTTATTAATAAAGTTAAAGGGATACACTGGGGTTCTAGTAATGTTAAAGGGATACACTGGGTTATTAATAAAGTTAAAGGGATACACTGGGGTTCTAGTAATGTTAAAGGGATACACTGGGTTATTAATAAAGTTAAAGGGATACACTGGGGTTCTAGTAATGTTAAAGGGATACACTGGGTTATTAATAAAGTTAAAGGGATACACTGGGGTTCTAGTAATGTTAAAGGGATACACTGGGTTATTAATAAAGTTAAAGGGATACACTGGGTTATTAATAAAGTTAATTGGATACACTGGGTTATTAGTAATGTAAAAGGGAAACACTGGGTTATGAGTAATGTAAAAGGGATACACTGGGTTATTAATAAAGTTAATTGAATACACTGGGTTATTAGTAATGTAAAAGGGATACACTGGGTTATTAATAAAGTTAAAGGGATACACTGGGTTATTAATAAAGTTAATTGGATACACTGGGTTATTAGTAATGTAAAAGGGATACACTGGGTTATTAATAAAGTTAAAGGGATACACTGGGTTATTAATAAAGTTAAAGGGATACACTGGGTTATTAGTAATGTAAAAGGGATACACTGGGTTATTAATAAAGTTAAAGGGATACACTGGGTTATTAATAAAGTTAATTGGATACACTGGGTTATTAGTAATGTAAAAGGGATACACTGGGTTATTAATAAAGTTAAAGGGATACACTGGGGTTCTAGTAATGTTAAAGGGATACACTGGGTTATTAATAAAGTTAAAGGGATACACTGGGTTATTAATAAAGTTAATTGGATACACTGGGTTATTAGTAATGTAAAAGGGAAACACTGGGTTATGAGTAATGTAAAAGGGATACACTGGGTTATTAATAAAGTTAATTGAATACACTGGGTTATTAGTAATGTAAAAGGGATACACTGGGTTATTAATAAAGTTAAAGGGATACACTGGGTTATTAATAAAGTTAATTGGATACACTGGGTTATTAGTAATGTAAAAGGGATACACTGGGTTATTAATAAAGTTAAAGGGATACACTGGGTTATTAATAAAGTTAAAGGGATACACTGGGTTATTAGTAATGTAAAAGGGATACACTGGGTTATTAATAAAGTTAAAGGGATACACTGGGGTTCTAGTAATGTTAAAGGGATACACTGGGTTATTAATAAAGTTAAAGGGATACACTGGGGTTCTAGTAATGTTAAAGGGATACACTGGGTTATTAATAAAGTTAAAGGGATACACTGGGGTTCTAGTAATGTTAAAGGGATACACTGGGTTATTAATAAAGTTAAAGGGATACACTGGGTTATTAATAAAGTTAATTGGATACACTGGGTTATTAGTAATGTAAAAGGGAAACACTGGGTTATGAGTAATGTAAAAGGGATACACTGGGTTATTAATAAAGTTAATTGAATACACTGGGTTATTAGTAATGTAAAAGGGATACACTGGGTTATTAATAAAGTTAAAGGGATACACTGGGTTATTAATGAAGTTAATTGGATACACTGGGTTATTAGTAATGTAAAAGGGATACACTGGGTTATTAATAAAGTTAAAGGGATACACTGGGGTTCTAGTAATGTTAAAGGGATACACTGGGTTATTAATAAAGTAAAGGGATACACTGGGGTTCTAGTAATGTTAAAGGGATACACTGGGTTATTAATAAAGTTAAAGGGATACACTGGGTTATTAATAAAGTTAATTGGATACACTGGGGTTCTAGTAATGTTAAAGGGATACACTGGGTTATTAATAAAGTTAATTGGATACACTGGGTTATTAATAAAGTTAAAGGGATACACTGGGTTATTAATAAAGTTAAAGGGATACACTGGGGTTCTAGTAATGTTAAAGGGATACACTGGGTTATTAATAAAGTTAATTGGATACACTGGGTTATTAGTAATGTTAAAGGGAAACACTGGGTTTCTAGTAATGTAAAAGGGATACACTGGGTTATGAGTAATGTTAAAGGGATACACTGGATTATTAATAAAGTTAATTGGATACACTGGGTTATTAGTAATGTTAAAGGGATACACTGGGTTTCTATTAATATTAAAAGGAAACACTGGGTAATTATGGAGTTAACTTGTTAATAAAGGCTCAGCGGCGGAACCACGCCTCACTTTGTCTCTTTAACCAATCACCTGCTCCCTTAAACTTATTCAAGGAGGATCATCCCTCTAGCACTGCTCTTCTCGTTTTGTTGAACCCACTCTCCCTCCATTCCTTCGCTTCCCATTCACAATCCTATAACCCTTTTCACTCCAACATGTAGGTTGAATTAGGGGATCCAATCACTCTGCCAAAATATCACAGAGACAGTAACCCCACTCTGGGCATAGTAGGATGTTCACCAGTTCACCAGTCATCCTCTTACTCCCCTTCCTCTTCATCCCACTCTTCTCTTACCATCCCTGTCATCCCTACAGTAAAGTCTATCCCAAAGTGTGGCGTGGGGCATGCTGGTGAAAGTAATGTTAATGGGCAACACTGGGTTATTAATAATGTTAAAGGCAAACACTGGGTTGAAATCTGATCTTGAATCAGTTTTTACTATATATATTGTCCTTCATTAAGGCATAATGAATGTTTACAGATCTGGGTTTGACAGAGAAATCTCTTTTATATTTATATGCATGTTAAGGCTGTCGTGGTAATATTACTACATGTGTAAATGTTAATAAGCCAATGAAAGTTCACATAGTCGTTCTTTCTAATATCATCAAGATTATTTTTTCAAGAAGTTTTGAACATAAATAGTAGAATTAATTGAATTATGGAAATAAATCGACATTTTACTTCACTATTTGTGTGTATTTTAGATTGAATGGGGCTGAAGAGAAGAATAGATATTTCTATAAAAGGGAGATTGGTGAATAAAACGTTCTTTCTTGCTATTAAAGAACAATAAAAATATATATTTAATATCCAGGCGTCAGCTGGCACTTTTTTCATCGGCTCCTGATGTACTGTACAATCTTCATCAGCTACTCTCAGCATTCGTTGTGTCTGTCATATAGCTGTATAAATGTTCAAATATATTACAATAAAATTATCACATTTTTATTATAAATAATAAAGAAACACTTGCGAAAATCTAATCAAAACATTTATTTATTTATTTATTTATTTATTTATTTATTTTAACAAAAAACATCTAAGTCATACTGGCCAAAATCTTTTGAGGTACTTAAACCAAATATACATCAACTGATTAAAACATCAGTAATTACTGCATTATTAAAAACATCACTTTACAGTTATTTAAAATAAGCTTGAGAGCAAGACCTATTATATATATATATATATATCCTCACCGGCCACTTAATTAGCTACACCTTAGTACCCAGTTGGACCTTTTTTCCCTTCAGAACTGCCCTAGTCCTTCGTGGCATAGATTCAACAAGGTACTGGAAATATTCCTCAGAGATTTTGCTCCATATTGACATGACAGCATCCGTTGCTGCAGATTTGCCAGCTGCACATCTACGATGTGAATCTCCCATTCCACCACATCCCAAAGGTGCTCTATTGGATTGAGATCTGGTGACTGTGGAGGCCATTTGAGTACAGTGAAATCCTTGCCATGTTCAAGAAACCAGTCTGAGATGATTCACGCTTTATGACATGGTGCGTTATCCTGCTGGAAGTAGCCATCAGAAGATGGGTAAACTGTGGTCGTAAAGGGATGGACATGGTCAGCAACAATACTCAATTGGTACTAATGGGCCCAAAGTGTGCCAAGAAAATATCCCCCACACCATTACACCACCAGCAGCAGCAGCCTAAACCATTGATACAAGGCAGGATGGATCCATGCTTTCATGTTGTTGACGACAAATTCAAAATTTCCATTCAAATGCTGGAGCAGAACTGGAGACTCATCAGACCAGACATCGTTTCTCCAATATTCAATTGTCCAGTTTTGGTGAGCCTGTGTGAATTGTAGCCTCAGTTTCATGTTCTTAGCTGACAGGAGCGGCACCCGGTGTGGGCTTCTGCTGCTTTAGCCTATCCGCTTCAAGGTTGGACGTGTTGTGTGTTCAGAGATGCTCTTCTGCAGACCTCTGTTGTAACAAGTGCTTATTTGAGTTAGTGTCGGCTTTCTATCAGCTGGAACCAGTCTTGCCATTCTCCTCTGACCTCTGGCATCAACAAGGCATTTGCACCCACAGAACAGACGCTCACTGGATATTTTCTCTTTTTTAGACCATTCTCTGTAAACCCTAAAGATGGTTGTGCGTGAAAATCCCAGTGGAGCAGTTTCTGAAATACTCAGACCAGCCCGTTTGGCACCAACAACCATGTCACATTCCAAGTCGCTTAAATCCCCTTTCTTCCCCATTCAGATGCTCGGTTCATCTTGACCATGTCTACATGCCTAAATGCGTTGAGTTGCTGCCATGTGATTGGCTGATTAGAAATGTGCGTTTACGAGCAGTTGGACAGGTGTACCTAATAAAGTGGCCGGTGAGTGTACACAGTTTATAAATATTTTTAAATAAAACGCTTGAGAGCAAGACAACGCCAGTCTACCACTAGATGGAGTTTTATTCTAAGATCTGAACCGAGTGTTCAAAAACAAGGTGTGCTCCTGAGAAATGCAACAGAAAGCGGAACAGCTTCCTGAAACTTCACCTTATTTCTGTTTCAGTGTTGTTTCTCAACCGTGCGCCAATGTGTTTCCCCTTTGCGTTAAGTCAAGCGTATACGCATGGTGGAACCTGTTTCGTGTGCCTCATGTAAGACTACATTGGTTTTAGAAGTGCGTTAAATGTCATTTTGTTTGCAATACAGCACTCGAGTAGCTGTGTATAATGCATTATTTAGAGTCGGTGTGTTGCATCCCATTGGTTGCATCATACGCTGGGAGTTGCAGGGCTTGGCAGCATAGATAAGATATGGGACTGTGCGCGTGTTGATGTGTGTGTGTGGAGTCAGTAATGACTTCACAGCTAATGCATTTAATAACTTGCATTTCTAAAGTCATGAAAATGTCATTTGCAGCTGCTTAATATGCAAATCAGTCATGCACTTTATAAAACACATATAAAGAATGCGTTATTATTACTAATGATGGTTTCAGCATGCACAGCAATCTTATGTAAATGTTTGTTTGCTTTATGCATGCACGCTGTTAGTGCATGAGATACAGCGCAAACTACAAAAAGCTGTAACTTTTCCCTGCAGCAGTGGTTAGCAGGAAAGTGTTTACCCGTGTCTGCAGGTTGCAGCTTAGGTTTCTGTTCTGCCCACTTCGCCTTTAAGAAGCAATAACGAAACAACGAGGAAGTGAAAATGAAATCTACTTTCGCATTTCGGTCTGCAGCCAATGAGTAGACCAGGTCAGAATCTACTATGGTGATGGCTGGCTTATGAATATTCAACAGAGTCAAGAGAGACATGGGTTAAACCGTTCAACTACCTTGAGCGTCAGTAACTGTGTGTTTATGAAGACTTTATGGGCATGTCTGCTTTGCATGTAGAGTCAAATAAAGCATTTTTAATATGTGTGTCATTTGTTAGAATATAGACACGCTATTTTAAATTACGCTATTTATGTATAAGAAAAATAGGGTCAGTGTGAAGTTAATAACAAGACAATACTAAGTATTAATAAATGCATTATTATTATTATTATTTATCATGTATATATATATATATATACATGTATATATATATACATGATAAATAATAATAATAATGCATTTATTAATACTTAGTATTGTCTTGTTATTAACTTCACACTGACCCACTGAATATATATATATATATATATATATATATATATATATATATATATATATATATATATATATATATATATATATTAGCCCCTTTGAATTTTTTTAAAAAATATTTCCCAATTGATGTTCAGCAGAGCAGGAAAATGTTCACAGTATGTCTGATAATATTTTTTCTTCTGGAGAAAGTCTTATTTGTTTTATTCCGCCTTGAAGAAAAGCAGTTTTTAATTTTTTAAGAATATAATTAAATAACAAAAATTTTAAGGTCAATTTTATTAGCCTCTTTAAGCTATATTTTTTCCGATAGTCTACAGAACAAACCACTGTTATACAATAACTTGTCTAATTACCCTAACCTGCCTAGTTAACCTAATTAACCTAGTTAAGCCTTTAAATGTCACTTTAAGCTGTATAGAAGTGTCTTGCAAGTAACATATTATTTACTGTCATCGTAGCAAAGATAAAATAAATCATTTATTAGATATTAGTTATTAAATCTATTATGATTAGAAATGTGTTGAAAAAATCTGCTCTCCATTAAACAGAAATTGGGGAAAAAATTAACAGAGGGTCTAATAATTAAACTTTTTTGGTAGTAGTTTGGTGGTACATGCATCAGTGAATCAAATTTATGAATGTATTAAATTACATCTAGTTTATTAATGAAAAGTATGCGTTTTCAGTGTTTGAGAGATATTTAGGTTACTTTTGGTCAAACTATACAAATTATGTGTCTAATGCTTCATTTTTTTTTTTTTTGTACCTACATGCAGATATTAACACCTATTTTACAAGAAATGTGTTTTGTGAATGCTTAAGATGTCTACCGGTGCTCTAGAACTGCTAATTTCAGACTGTTAACTGATATTTTTGTTGTGATAATTGGTAATGGCATATATATATATATATGTGTGTGTGTGTGTGTGTGTGTGTGTGTGTGTGTGTGTGTGTGTGTGTGTGTGTGTGTGTGTGTATAACAAAATTGGATATTGATATTTAAGATTTGATATTGTTATTTCTCGCTATTTTTGTAAAATGCTAAATAATATGAAAGCAATTGTGTGTTTGTTTTGTTTTTTTGTCTATCCAAAAACAATTTTAATAATTCTTAACATTCCTCAAAAATAGCAAGTCATCCTTACAAACATGCCTGTCATCTTTCCATAAATTAATATTTATTAGCCAAGCCTTCCCCATAACACAAAACAAATTAATAATATAACGATCCAACACGAATTTAATTTGTTACATCCTTTGTACTATTTATTATGAAACAAAACAAATGCAAAATAATTAATATTATATAGACTGACAAAAAATCTCAAGCCAGCCGATGGGCGAACGTCTCTTTACGTATTTAATATTCATAAGCTATCTCATCCGTAAACATTTCTTGAGCCGCCTCCTATTTGAACCTTCAGCCAATCAGCGCGCGAGCGTCCAGCTACGTCGTTAATATTTATAAACCAAGGCTGCGCCGTAGTAGGATCCGTAAATGCGAAGTAAGCGCACAACACACACGCGCGCGCACGCACACCGGGGATTTCCACCCAAGCGCTAGTTTCCTTCACTTGTTTTGCTTTCGATCTGAAGACCGAAATCAATCCCATTTGACTTTTCGTTTTGATATCAAGGACTACAAATTGTCGAGACTCCTTTACGCACTCTTTCTTTTTATTTCTGGAGTGATTTCCGCACGTCGCAGGTAATAAATGGCATTTCCGCATGTATTTATAGGGTTGATATATGTATGTGAGTGGATGTTTATGCTGTAGGCCACGCAGAGTTGCTGCTGGTGAGTGTAAAATCGAAAGTCATGGGCTGTTTGGATCCAATGGGAATCAAGGAATGTTTATTTTCACTTTTGAGTTGACTTGACAACACTAATAGACTTATTTTGGGGAGGGTGAAGGCACTTGGTTGTAGTGCCGCGAGAATGATTGGGACACACTTCACACCACAATGTCATTTGACTGTAAGTACTGAGGCGAATTCATAGATAACACGGAGTTTTGTCGTCAGATTATGTCGTTGAGAAGTTTTCGTGGGCTTGTTGGTATTGTTATTGTTGTTATTTACTTATATTCGGACATGTGCTGGAGTCTAACATGGACACTGCTGTGGAAAATGTCTGTCATAAAATGCTGCAACAATATCTGAATCCAAATTTGGTCTGATAAGCTGATAAATATAGCTTGATATAATCGTATACCAAGAAAATTTGTCAGTAACATGTAATAATAATGTCATTTGTTTTAATAAATGTAGATTTCACAGTGTTACAATGTATAGTGAACTGCACTTGTGTAATAGCAGTGTAGTAATACTGACTTCCAGATGAATAGTTGATGACAAGGTGGACTATATTATATTAATATTTATTTATATTACTTATTCTTTGTCAGTCAAATGCTATTTTTAATTGGCTTTAGATGATGGTAAAAGTTTAACATGCACAATATTAAATATCCATCATTTATTAGCTGATACAAGTCAACAAAAAAGTATTTCATCAGCTGATATGGGAACAAAATATCTTGCATCTCTATATTTTGGGTGGTTTTATGTGTGAGATTACCATACATACAAATTAATAGTTCTAATAGTGTCAGGATCAGTGTTGTGTACTTCAAACATTTACTAATTAAATAAATGTATTTTACTTTTCTTGTGTCATATTACCGTAAACGCTGAGGCAAATTTATATATAACAAAGTTTTGTCGTTAGTTTATGTTGTTGAGAAGTTTTCGTGGGCTTGTTGGTATTGTTATTGTTGTTATTTACTTATATTCGGACATGTGCTGGAGTCTAACATGGACACTGCTGTGGAAAATGTCTGTCATAAAATGCTGCAACAATATCTGAATCCAAATTTGGTCTGATGAGCTGATAAATATAGCTTGATATAATCGTATTACATGAAAATATGTCAGTAATATGTAATAATAATGTCATTTGTTTTAATAAACGTAGATTTCACAGTGTTACAATGTATAGTGAACTGCACTTGTGTAATAGCAGTGTAGTAATACTGACTTCCAGATGAATAGGTGATGACAAGGTGGAATATATTATATTAATATTTATTTATATTACTTATTCCTTGTCAGTCAAATGCTATTTTTTAATTGGCTTTAGATGGTGGTAAAAGTTTAACATGCACATTATTAAATATCCATAATTTATTAGCTGATACAAGTCAACAAAAAAGTATTTCATCAGCTGATATGGGAACAAAATATCTTGCATCTCTATATTTTGGGTGGTTTTATGTGTGAGATTACCATACAGACAAATTAAAAGTTCTAATAGTGTCAGGATCAGTGTTGTGTACTTCAAACATTTACTAATTAAATAAATGTATTTTACTTTTCTTGTGTCATATTATCGTAAACGCTGAGGCAAATTTATAGATAACAAAGTTTTGTCGTTAGTTTATGTTGTTGAGAAGTTTTCGTGGGCTCGTTGGTATTGTTATTGTTGTTATTTAATTATATTCGGACATGTGCTGGATTCTGACATGGACACTGCTGTGGAAAATGTCTGTCATAAAATAATTCAACCATATCTGAATCCAAATTTGGTCTGATGAGCTGATAAATATAGCTTGATATAATCGTATAACATGAAATAATGTCAGTAACGTAATAATAATGCAATTTGTTTTATAATGTATAGTAAACTGCACTTGTGTAATAGCAGTGTAGTAATACTGACTTCCAGATGAATAGGTGATGAGAGGGTGGAATATATATTTCTATATATTTATACATATATTTTTATATTCATTCATTCATTTTCTTGTCGGCTTAGTCCCTTCATTAATCCGGGGTCGCCACAGCGGAATGAACCGCCAACTTATCCAGCAAGTTTTTACACAGCGGATGCCCTTCCAGCCACAACCCATCTCTGGGAAACATTCACACACACATTCACACACACACTCATACACTACGGACAATTTAGCCTACCTAATTCCCCTGTACCGCATATCTTTGGACTATGGGGGAAGCACCCGGAGGAAACCCACGCGAACGCAGGGAGAACATGCAAACTCCACACAGAAACGCCAAATGAGCCGAGGCTCGAACCAGCGACCTTCTTGCTGTGTGGCGACAGCATTACCTACTGCGCCACTGCTTCACCCCTATATTTTTATATATTTATATTTTTTGTTTATATATTTATTTATATTACTTATTATTTGTTAGTCAAATGCTATTTTAACTGGCTTTAGATGATAAGAAAAGTTGAACATGAACATTAACAAATATTCATTTGCAGCATAATTATATCAATATTTCTTTGTATTACGTGTTATTTGTCAGTCAAATGCTCTTTCTGTTATTGGCTTTTGATGATTGGAAAAGTTGAAAATGAGCATTCAATACCACATATCCACAGTTAAACATCATTTATTAGCTGATACAGGTCAACAACACATTTTTTATCAGCTGATACGGGAACAAAATATCATGCATCTCTATATCTCCATTCTTGAGTAGTTTTATATGTAACATTACCATGCACATAAACATACATCATACATCATACTTCAAAAATTAAGCAATTACTAATTGTTAAATAATTAAAAGTGTATTTAAATTACCTTTCTAATATCTTTGTGACTTAATACTTAATATAATTACCTGACTCTAAAAATTGATAGATATTAAATAAACCTACTAATAATATTAATTATTTAAATTTGACTTTATATACAAATGTATTAAATAAAATGATTTTGATAAAAATTATTAAATAAATATACATTTATTAAAAAACGATTATTAGAGTACTTTATTTTAAACAAAAATACTTATAACATGTATATATATATATATATATATATATATATATATATATATATATATATATATATATATATATATATATATAATCAGAATTATCAGAATTTCACTTATATATATATTTATTATTATTAATATATAATTATGCTGCAAAATATTTTTGAATAACAAAGAAATCTCTTAATTGATTTATACAGAACTGCTGAATTTTTTTTTACATTATTTAAGGCAAGTATAAAATAAGTAACTGCGATTAAATTACCTCAAAAAGAAAAGTAATTTCTTTCTTTACTTTTCAAAGGAAGAAAAAATGTAATTACATTAACGTTGTAACTAATTACCCCCAACACTGGTGAGGATACGATTGTGAATATTCAGATTAGACTTTATTAATAAAGAAGTAGATATTGTGATTATTAAGGCGGTATAAATAGTTGATAAGGTCCGCAGGTGGTTGCTAGGATTTAGCATAAACCAACAAGAATTCACAAATGTTGAAAAAAATTAAAAATAATGGCAGATTGACAAGAAGTGTAATAAAAACAGCAAATGTCTAAAATTATATATCCAATATTTACCAGTACAGATCAAATGAGCTAATATAAGACTAAAACATCTACAATTTGGAGTGATTTCTTTTTATTTTAGGTGTTTTTAATATGTCTCTGCATATATGTTTTGCATGCTGTGTAAAATGCCTGTAGATTGTTGTCTGTGTTATGACTCTCTTTCTTCACTCTCGTTTCCTAATGGTCCATAAAAGCTCAAAGGTCTGAGGGACAAACGGATGAATTTAAAGCGCGAGTTTTCATTGTGATTAACTATAAACCTTTTTATGAGCTCCAATTGGTTAATCGGTAACTTCGGGATTTGCTTTTGGTGAAATGAAAACAGATCAAGAAACAACAAGCGAGCAGGCCTACTTCTACTTCTAGTTGTGCATGATCTGTACAGCCAGATCTCACGAGAAAACATAAGTATTTTACGTTTTGCCAGTTTAGTGGCTAATTCGTACGAATTCGTACGAGTTCAGTCGTACGAAATTGTACGATTTTAAAAAGGAGGCGTGGCACCTAACCCCGCCCCTAACCCCAACCGTCATTGGGGGATGAGCAAATCGTACCAAATTGTACGAATTAGATCGTACGTATTCATACGAATTAGCCACTAAATCAAAAAGTTACGAATAGCCGTGAGATTGTTTTGGATCTGTAGTAAAGGTTTAACAACATGCATCATTTCTTAGATACACACGCATAGACACACACACTTGTACAGCTATCTTTATGGGCACATAATGATATTTCTACTGTACATTTCAGACTACATATTCAGTCCACCTACCCCAGCACAGCTGTAAACCGATATATCGTGAAAGTATCATTATCGTGATAATAGTAATGTAATATACGTATTGCAGACTTGATAAATTATTTTATGCATTAGTTCTTTATTTAAATTTGACCACTTACTATCTTAATCTCCACCCCCTAAGTAGTTGTTGCTCTGCTATTGGCTGGAGCAGCCCAAAACTGAAGCCAGAGCTGAAAATAAACAATAATAGCGAAAAAATGACAACAGCCAATCAGAGTCCAAATATCTGTGGAGGTTTTTGCTCA